CAGAAAAGATCATTTGACTCATAAAGGCATTTGATCAGAGCAAATAAATATAGGGAAAAAATAATTAAAATTAACTTGTGTGCTTCCACTGACAATTGCGCCAATGAGTAATCTTGTACATCCAGAAGTTATAGGGAATATGGAAAATAGAGAAGGTAAAATACTCGCGAAACAAAGAGCATAAATCTATATATATTTATGGGGAACTGACAGACTCCTTCGAAATAAAAACTGTTCGTCAAGGCTGTGTCATTTTTCCTACAATATTGAACTATGTTATAGACAGAATAATGGACATCGCTTGTGAGCACTCAAGGGATGTACAAATCAATTTAGAGCATAATATCAATTCCAGTTGAAGAAACAGCTTCCTTTTCCTATGTTAAAGAAAAACATTGAGCCACTATTTGTTTCCCAGTTGTTCGATATGTTTATTTTTCACCCATAGTTCTTTTTCTTAATCACTACATTGTACCAACGCTTGTAGCTTTTTAAGTTGTACAAAAGTTAACTTGTGTTTTTTATTATAATTATGTAATTCACTGCATTAGCTATGATTAATTTTTCTTTATGATAAAAATATTAAATTAACATTTACATTAAATTGTTATAATTTTACTGATAGTGGTTATTTCACTGAAAGAAATTAATTATTCGTCGTTTCGTCGATCCTTTTGTTGTACGAATGATCGGAATATTCTACCAAGTTGGTCATCATCTGGTTTTCTTATGTAAGGAACTCGTACTACGATTCTTCGCTTTGATCGCATTGGTTCTTTGTTTCCATCGGCGCTAAAATGCCTTCAGCGTGTGTGAAATTTTAAAATTTTTTAACGGATAATTTAATTTTAAAGAATTATTAAATTGTTGATTTTGAATTCTTTGGTAATCAAAAGGAAAAGTGATGCTCAAGGAATTGTCAGTCAGATTACTTTTTCAAAATTAACTCAAGTTCCACTTAAGACATATTTCAATTATTTCTTGTTTTACTATTCATATGGTGAAATGAAATAGAAATTGGAAATAGCGAAAATAATATAAAATTTTAATGAAGGATCTAATGGTTGTTTGGAGGCATTTGAATTCGGCTGCTCTCGCTGACATGAGCGAATTGTCATTGCAAGTGGAATGCGGATAAGCTTAACGCAATTGCATTTTTATAACCCAAATAGCCCTTTAGTAAAAAGATAACACTAGATCTTTAGAACCAGAAATTTAAAGATGTGTCCTTATCCATTTTTTTGATATATTTTTCAGCACCAATATTTTTTTGCGAAGAAAAAAATATATCATTATCATTATAAGCGTTTGATATTTAATTTGGTATGTAGATGTGTTGATCTTCAAATGTATAACTTTGATCATGTCTGACCTGAAGTACAACGTACAGGAACGCCGTGTCGGTAAAATCTTTATATATCATCCATAATTCTATCTTTCCCTCGATACCATATGCATCAGATAATATCTTTATGAAGCGTGCTAATTCGATTATGTTCTTTGTCGTCCAACTCAGAAATTCGTGTAAATCTCACTACATGATAAACCTTATAGTCAAGAGCGAGAAAGCGAGAAATAAAAGTTTGGACAGGAGAAAGGATAGGTGAGCCAGGTATTTAGGAATTTAAGCGGTGAAAATATTAATATCAAGTATGATTTGGAGACTTGAAAAAATCGTGAACCAGTAGGTGTAGCCAACACGGTAAGAGTGCAACCTGTTCTATGAAAAAAATTTCTTTGAAATTATGAAGCGACCAGATATCTAGTAATATATAATTCGCGAACAAAGATTGCTTTTTTTCGTGCATAAAATTTCATGCATTTTCCTAATTTTGTTCTTACATTCTCGCGAAGAAACAATTGTGATATATTTTTTTGTTCTAATAATCTTGGGGATAGAATGGCTCAGTGAGTTGTTGCTAAATTCAGAGCGATGATGCTGGGGCTCGGGAGGTTTTCCCGCAGGAATAAACCTGTCCAAAAATCGGGATGACTCTTTTGTCGTCAAATTGGAAATTGGGTAGCCAGTTTAATCGTTCAAAAATCTCGAAAACTTTGAAAAAATTTTCACAAATTTCAACAGTCATAAGCCATAATAATGAATGTTTATTATAACTTATAATTTTGACCATTTTACTCGAATGCAAAAGTTTTAAATCAGAAAGATTAAACAAAATTGAAGATTGAAAAACCTGAAGAAATGTTGGCCGAATAATGATGGAATGATCGCAATGATACAAATTGCTTGAAGAAACATTAGAGATTCTGTGTGATTTCCTTAAAATTATTTATTTAAATTTAAATGTTTGAGAAACGATTATTTAGAAAGACGATAGCGATGGAAACTAAGAAAATTCATAATGGACGTAAAACCAACGCGATTTGAATTCGCATCATTTGAAACCAATCCAAGCCTATCTATCTATCCGTTAAAATATACACGATAAGGCTCCAGAAAAAAAATGATTCGTTAATTAATCATAAGCAAATATAATTAATATTTATCGCGATGACAAATTAATTTTCCTTTAATGTTTTTTGGACAAGAATTTCATCTTCTATTCGTGATATTCGTGATATAGCAAAAAAAAGAAGAAAGGAATAGTTCATTTCTTCACCTTCAGTGTAGCACATATCTATATCTATGTACATTTCCTGAATAATACTGATTGTTGAACTACACTAAACTCAGTTAAGCTAGACTAAACTAAACCTTTTTCCAATTCTATGGTTATTCACTTCTCGTTTCATTCAGTTCACAATCAGTTTTAAGAAGCAATGTCCCTTATTATCTGTTATTTAGCCTAACAATTTGAAATAAAAATAATTTCAAAAATCGTCGTCAACTCATAATTTTATATACAATAATCCATCCCATTTTGATTCGCATGAGCTTATGCTATATATTGAATTTGAAAATTACTCCAGCAGTGGATTTTCAAAGTTCTTCAGCTTATAATTAAAATTCACTAGTCCGCGCTATAAATCGTTGTAAGGCGAATTCTTTGCAAGCGAAGTGGCAAGTTTTGAATTCAAGGATTTGCAAATAAATTAAGAGAAAGAATAGATAAATTTAGTTATTTAGTTATTTAAATTTAGTTATTTAGTTACTTTAACAAACTACCGTATACTCCCATAAATTCGCTTGAAATGTTTTAAAATTTATAATCAGTACATATATATATGTACAAAAACAACTGTGATAAATAAAATAGTTGTAAAGCCAGAAAATGGGCTGCATGAAGCAGAAATTTTTGTATTATGGAACAATGCAACGTTTTTATCAAAATTGCTCAGGAAATACAGATAGTTGCTAATAAAAATGGTAAATCATTAAAATAAAATAATTATGGAAAGCGCAGTTTTAGGGCATTATGGAAATACACTTTCCGGTCTCTGGATGATTGAGGCTAGAAAATAGCTGGAAAAAGTTTAGTGGAAAATAATGGGGTATGAGGTAGAGATTAGCAGAATATAGCGAAGTTCTTGGCATAAAGAAATGTAAAGAAATTTGACAGCAGATTTTGAGAGAAGATAACGAGGTTTGGAAAAATATTAGTGAGGGAGGCACAATAGCTTTAGTGCAAAGATAGAAGGTCGCATTTAATGGAATTAATGGCTTTAGAGCCCACTGGGTATAGATGGATTTAGAAAATGTTGCTCACGATTTATTTGTATTATTTGCTCTGAGTTTGCGGAAAGAGGTAAAGCAGAAAATTCGACTATGAGTGAGTTCGAGAAAGTATAACGCTTTTGCCAATCGTTATTTTATCATTCAAAATACCGAACTCAATTATTTTATTTTATCAATTATTCTACTTCTGCTTGTATATATTCATTTTTTTAATCCCAGGTGATTTTCTTTCGATTATTGCTTGGAGATAAAATTATTGGCGAACCTGTATCATTATAGAATTTCACTCTTAATGATAAGGTCCACCACTATCATGGACATCGTAAATCCACCTCAGTCGAAGTAAAATGCCACTCAAGCATTGTGCCATCCAATCCAATCGGTTTATTGAACTGGACGCATAAAATTAATGAAATTTTAAAATAATAACATTTAATAAATAATAATAACATTTCTGCTATTCTGTTTTTTTGTCGTATATTAAAAATTTGCTCACGATATGCTTTAATGAAGATTCAGCATCTTTAAAGGGTACGTCACCATTATTGACTAGCATTTTGTTATTTTCTTATAAATAGCATCCCTTTGAATGGTTCCACTGAATTATAGGTCAATGTGCTTTCGCGAGGAAGTCATTTAGTAATATTGTCACTCATTATTTTCTCACATGGCTAGTTGTTTACTATGAGATTATTCCATTAGAATTTACTAGAATTTACCCAATTCATAGATAGTGAGTTTCCACTCCTGACTCCAAAAATATTTAAAAATCTGTCTTTGATCTGTCTTTTCAAAGACTCGACTACTTTGGTAACTAAATGACATCTTGGCAAAATTTGTCTAATCCAGATAAGCCAGCGAAGAAAGCTTAATCAGTCATGGTGAACATTGTTAAAAAAAGATAAAGATTTGATAAATATTTAATTTAGAATAATCTATTCTAAATAAATAAATATTTGTGAAAGTTCTTAACGAAAAGAATGCATTAATACTGTAAACTGTATTTCGGCTATAGTTTTTTCAGACCAATTTTTTTAACTTTTGGACTACTTTCGATATAATATTTTTATATTTCGATATGTTTTAAGTCTCCATTGTTAAAAAATTGAAATTACTATATGATGCTTTAATAAAGGAGTAGAAGCAGTTTCAATTTATTAAATTATAATGATTTTCTGAATTATAATGAAGAAACTTTATACATATTCAATTGACATGATATTTATGGATAAATAAATTTCTTTAACGACTTTGTAACAGCTTTGGATGAATAATAATATCTAAGATATAACCTATATGATAAATGTATATCAAATAAGCTCAATTTTATTTAGTGATTAACAGTAGAAGCAAGTTTGGATTAACGATGCGTGCGATAGGAGATTTACGAATGCGCTTTAGCAAGCGGATTCAAGTACAGTGGAAACTCCGTTTCCATCAGCGAATTCGTACTAAATCTTTCTTCACTCTGTTGGTAAAATTTGTTCCAATTCTTGCTTGGCTACCTAGATATGACTGGAAAAGGTCATTTTTCGGCGACCTTAGCGGTGGGCTTACGATGGCTGTTTTCGCAGTTCCACAAGGTTTTGTTTTGTTCTTAAATAGATTTAAGTTTTTCATAAATAAGTGGGAAAAGCCAACCCAGTAAGATAGTTTCTTCTTCTAGCAGTTTTTACTATTACTGGTTAAGCTGGCTCCGCTGGTTACAAGGGTAAGACCTCTCCAAGCTGCTCGGGTCGAAACCATTGCTAGTAGTAATAGAAGCCATTCCTTTTTCCATCGTCTAAGTCCATATATCGTTGGTCTCCCTATACGTTCAAAATCTTTTTTGACTGTATCAGTTCAGGTCTTGACTGGCCTTCCTCACTTTTGACGCCACCCATCACAGAGTTTAGCAAGTAACGAAATATGTATCAACTCCTGTGGTGGACGACGGAGAACGTCGTCTAACCAGCGAAAGCGACATTCTATGATAACATTATTAATACAGGGTGATATTTGAACGATAGATATAATCATGTGCAATTTTATCCGCTGGATCCATAAAATGTATCTTAGACATGAGTGGCCAAAGACTGATATCTTAAGACTGATAGCTTCTTAATATCTTTCACTCTCATTGGCCATGTTTCGCAGCCATATAGCAAAATGGAGCAAATTGTCGCTATATGGACAGGGATTTTCGTCTTTAGAGGCAGTTTAAAATAACACTTGTTCAACCATGCGAGTAAACCCTATTATTAAAAAATCTATGTATTGCTGAAGATCAATTGTATTTTTACCATCAAGTAATTCTTTGGCAAAAATTTTTCATAACAGTTAGTGCATAATCACAAATATTGATGGCCTATCCGGGAAGAATGATTTCATCTATCATAAGTAGCCATCATAATGTATAAATTGATCCATATTAGAAAATTTTATTTTGTGAAGCTATTGAGTGATTTTAAGCCTTTTTTTTAAAACATAATTAGCTTATGTCTCAAAAAACGATTTTCAGCAATAGCCCTGGCAGCGGTGACAGGAGTTGATGCAGTATATGGTTTATATACAGCTATATTTCCGTGCTTTATATATACATTTTTTGGTTCTTCAAAGCACAATTCATTAGGTTTGCATTCAATTTATGGAGTTTTTTAGCGCAAATGATGATTTTTTTAAAATTTCGTAAAAATTGAGAATTGAATTTTAGTCATTAGCCATTCTTTAATTTCAGGTGGATTTGCTGCACTTGCCTTAATAACACGTTCAGCGATCGAAAGGATGCTAAATCAAAAGAACCAAATGAACATGGACCGAATGTTGAATTTAACAGCCTTAACTGAATCAGAGAATAATTTATCAGCAAGAGTCGATATGGTTAATGGTTCAACAAATACCGCAAACGATTTATTGAATTCAGAAATTCAAGTAGATATGACACAATTTTGCGCCATAAATATTGCTACAACTATCGTTTTTCTCAGTGGAACCGTTCACGTAAAATTTTTATTAATTCAGAAAAATAATTTATTCAAGAAAGAGGAGTTCATATAATTATAGATTTTGATGGGAATTTTCCGACTTCATGTTATTACTTGTTATTTCTCGGAACAACTCGTTTCCGGTTTCGTAGTTGGCGGTTGTTTTCATGTATTCTTTGCTCAAATTGGCCCTTTATTAGGCATTCAGGTGCAGCGAAGATCAGGACCTGCACATCTTTTTCATGTAAATTCATTACTAGATTCTATTTTTTGTATTAGGTGAACCTTTATTTTTACGGCTTTAATATTTATTAAGTAGTATTATTTATTATTAAATAGTATAATAGAAATGTTATAATAATAATAATAATAATAATAATAATAATAATAATAATAATAATAATAATAATAATAATAATAATAATAATAATAATAATAATAATAATAATAATAATAATAATAATAATAATAATAATTGCATAAGACTAGATGCCAACTGCAGATTTTTATCCTTCCATGCTTTCCAACAGTCAGAAACTATAGATATATTTTTTCAGCTTTCTAGTATGAAAAGCTCTCATTTATAAATAAATTATAAATAGATAAATAAAGTCGCATTCGGTTAAAAATTTTAAATAAATTGGTCAAATTCCTTAGTTTTTAATTCCTTAATTTGATATATTTATAAGTAGAAATAGACTGATACAATTATAACAAATAAAAACATTTTGAGATTTCAGATAGCAACTGATCTATTTAATTGCATGGACAAAATGCACGTACCAACTGTTGTTATTAGTGCTTTATCTATAATTTTTTTATTAATCGGGAAAAAAATAATAGAACCATGGTTGTTGCAAGTTTTCCTTTTTCCGATTCCTTATGAACTTATATTGGTTCGTTACTGTTTTCTTTGACTTATTATTCGTTTAAAACGATTTATAGTGATACAAAATCGCAGTGTTAAAAAAAGCGAAAATAAGCAGAAAATTTTACAAATCCTTTTGATCATCTAATCAGTTATATTAGTCTTGATAATTCTGGTATATTTATGAAAGCGAAAGAAAATTCCATTTTCTACGAAAAATCTCGAAAACAACCTAAAGCTCTTTCTCTCCACTTTACTAACTGGTTGCAAATTCACCATACTTTTATTTTGTTTACCAGTGGAATTCTTCATTTCTAACTGGTTGACTCCATCGACTCCATTAGTAAACGTAATATTTGCTAATAGAAGTACAGATGTATACTCAGCGTACTGCGCAATGATTAACCTCAATTATGATTTTACATCGCCTGCTTTGTAGTTTTGTAGCTTAATTTTGGATAATTGTGAATGCATTTACTCGAATAGCCCTGCGGGAAGTATATTCGATTCTCTTTTTTTTACCATACTACTTCACCTACTTAGTGTATTTGGTTGTTTAAAAAAGAAAATAAGCATGATCTTTTTTTTCATTGGATGGAAATATTATTTATTAAAAGAATTAATTCAGGTGTCACCAACTTTTTTCTTACACCGCCCTCCTATAAGAAAACATTTTTTGATTCACCTGTTCGCGATTCATTTTTACTTCTATTAGCAAATGATTCCCTAACAAAAATTTCAATTACCAGTTACAGTGCAGGATTGAAAAGCGAAAAGATCAGATATAAAATATTCATCATTTGAGTGTTTGCCACTTCATTCATTAAGTTTAACTAAGCCCAAAAGCCTTTTTTACCCTTTCCTGATATATATTGATATACATTATTTAGAGTTAGAAATTATTCATTTGTTAAGAAAAAGCAATGATATAATTTCAGGTTGTTGTGGCAATAACAGCAACAAGATTCGCCGAATTGTCTGAACGATTCAATATTAGTGTTGTTGGAGATATACCTACAAAGTAATATCTAAGGATGCATAAAGACTTATCAAAAATGAACATGATAAATGAACGGTTGATGGCTGAAAAAGAAAAAATTTCAGATTCCCACCAGCAAGTTTACCCAAATTTGATTTTGTTCCTGAGCTTCTCGTTGATTCTATCAATATAGCAGTAATATCTGTCGCGATTCATATCACCGTTGCTAGAATAGTCGAAAGGAAATATGACTATCACATTTCTCATGAACAGGTAAAAATAAAGAAAAAAGAAATATTCAGTAATTCTCCACTTTTCTTTATGTTCATCTGCTTCTATAAAATTTCCTCCTGATAACTTGCCTATCGATCAAAAGGAGCTTTCGACACTCATTTGCTTTTTCCATTAAAATTCTTATTTAAAAATCTATGTCGGGAGCTACACGCTGTTTGAAAACCTTCATTAAAATGGTGCTCTTGGTTTTATAAGTGAATGGATTTCCAGGAACTCTATGCTCTTGGTTTCGTAAGTATTTTATCTTCTCTATTTCCCATATTCCCTGTAACTTCTGGATTTGCACGATCAGTCATTGGAGGAGCTGTCGGTGGAAGCACACAAGTTAGTTTTAAACTTTTTTTTTCTCTATATTTATTTGCTGTGAACTTCGAATTATATCGGTTGATCGGTTTTCACAAAATATAACTAATGAACTACATGCATAAAATTAATAAATTGAAAGTGATTAAATTCAATTCAGATTACTGCAATTTCTGTAAAAGTGAAAGATTTAGCATTGACTTCTTAAAAAAGTTTAAAATATAACATTACTCAACATCTTTCTATAATTTGAATAATTAAATGATAAATGGGGATTTTTTCAGTTAACATCGCTCATATCTGCGTTAACCTTACTTTCAGTAATATTGTATATAGGTCCAGCTTTAGCATATCTACCAAAAGTTAGTTTTCTTTTCTAGATTTTTCGAAAGTGAATTGATTACAACTCTTCGAAGCCTATGTTTCGCAGATTCCAGACTTCTGATTCTGGTTTCACGAATAAAGTTGATAAATCGGAACTAATTAAATTCATTAATAATAAATAAACTTTCAAAAATTACTGAAAATGAGGTTATCCAATTTATCAGGCTTGCCAAATTTTTTTTCCTTTTTTGAAAAGTATGTTTGTAAATAAATCGAATATTTTAGTGTGTTCTTGCTTCAATGATAATGGTAACAATGAGACTGTATTTCGAAAAATTTCGCGAATTAAAATTGCTTTGGCCAACGTTTAAATTTGATTTTGTAAGTCATTTTTAGAATTTTCCTATTATTGAAAAATCCTTTCAATCCTTTTTGTCACTTCTATTTATTATTTACTTTATTATTAATTATTTTTATCAATAATTTTTCACATATTGTTTTTTATCACTTTCATTCATTTTGGTAAAAAATGCATTGGATTCGGTGCTTTCTTTTATTAAAATAATTAGCAAAGTCTATATAAAAACTTAAAATTTAAAACAGTGAGATTATCTCTTTTATCCTTCAATAAAAGTAATTAACGTTCATCATTTCTGGTTTGGTCTTTCGGTTGGGTATCAGTACAAATGGTGAGAAATTTTTGAGTCATTTAAGTCATTTAATCGTTCATTTACGAATAAAATTGACAAATCGGATCTAATTAAATTTATTAATTGGAAAATAAACTTTCAAAAATTATTATTATTATCACTTTTTTTTATCACTTATTTTATCACTTTCAAAAATAAGATAAATATCAAATCCGAATTTTTCAATGACAGGTTTATTTTCATTGAAGACAGGACTCGAACCAGTTAAGAAAATCTGAGCGGCCATCGGGCTGTGCTGACTTTAATGACTATATGAATAATTTCTTTCCGATATTAATATTTAAAAAGAATTAAATAGGGGAATATTATCATTTACATTTGTTCAGATCAACAAAAAAATAATTAGAACGACATCGAAACCTATGAACTTTTTCCAATAATTTCAGTTCATATGGGTCGTGAGTATGTTATTAACAATATGTTATGATTTGGCCGAAGGTCTTACACTTTCTGTTTTATTCGCTGTATTAACAACACTTTTCAGGAATCATTGGTAAAAACTTCGAAAAAATAATTCCCATTGTTTCATAAAATTTGCTTCATCGCCACTTAATTATTAAACTGAACAGAAATGGTCACAATAGTTTTTTCATTAATCATTAACTTTCATTAAATTAAAACGTAGAAATGTCATTATTCGAATATTTTTTTCCTAAGAGAGTTTGGAGACCATTTCTGGCTAGGTATGCACCACTGACTCATCGGACCAGACAAATTTCAACAGGGAAACCACTTAGCGACAAAAATATGCATAAATATTCACATCTGTCAGTCAGATTTTTGAAAGACGAGTTTACTTTTGCCAATATCATATTTTGAAGCAAACACAAGGTAAATATATTTATAGGCCAAGATGGCACTTTTCAAAAGCTGATCGACATGAATATTGCCATGAAAATCGAAGGGAAAATATTAATCTTATCAAGAATAATGTGTATGTATTTCGCTTGGATGGTCCGCTCATGTTTGCGAGTGTTGACCGCTTCGTAACGGTTAATTTATAAAAAAGAAAATCATCGTTATTATATTATCATTGTTATTATTCTAATAATTAATTATTATTATTATTATTATTAGTATTAGTATTATTCACAAAAATAAATCAGTTGAAGAAAAAATCACGACGAATGTTCTTAGGCCAAGAAGCACTTTTCAAAATCTAATCAACATGAACATTAATTATTAGGATCAATTAATTAATTAAAATGAAAACTTTAATTAATCAAAGAAAAAATTTGATTTTATTAAAAATATGTTTTGTTGGTTTTTAGTTATTATTAAGATAAATATACCTCTTCGTCAAAGACTTTGAGAATAGAAATACAGTTGGAACAGCACCCGGATTTTTCTTTTAATAAAAAATTTACTCCTGTCAACAAGAGGAATCTGAACTGAATCCACTATTCTTAATCGTAGTCGATAAAAATACTGAACAACTTCTATATTTTTGTCATATCTATTATTATTGCATTATTGTTTTTACCATTTTTTGATTACAATATTTTTAAAAAAATATTTTCGAAATAATTTATTTTCAAAAAAGTTTTAAGACAATTCAGTTTTTAGGCATTACAGGATTGTATTAAACAATGCAAACGAAGCTATTTACGGCATAAATTCTTGAAAGAAATAGAAGAAATCAATCCAATTAATGTTGTTTTTTATTATTCCAAAATTTATATTATCCGAATCCGAATTATATCCGAAATTAATATTTTTTATTTAAGAATGATTGCAGAAAAATCAAAAAAACATTAAAATTTTGTTTAAAAAACCTTATTTTGCCTTAAATACTTAAAAATTAAATTTATATTCTTTAATAGTGAGAGATTTTAAAATAAATAAAATTCATGGAAATCCCTAAGAATATTTATTATTTCATTTGAATTTTTAAATTCTTAAGGATCAAAAAATTATCAAATAAATAAAAACTTTTCTTTTTAGCTAATTTTTTTCTAAAAAGTTTATATAAAAATAAAATCAACTGTTTTTACAAACGATCATTTTAGTTAGTTATTTTAGTTAGTTACAAATTTTAGTTACTTTTGAAAGGAGAAAATAATTTTTCCATCGTAATTGATTGTTCTGGATTTTCTTATGTTGATTACAGCGGTTTTATTACTCTGAAAAAGGTTTTACATTTAAATTAATTTTTTTAAAGATGTTTTTTCAATATTTCAATATTTCAAATCTTTGTGTTTTATAATATTTATGAAAATCTATTTTAAACTCTTCACAGATGAATTTTCAGAATTCGGAGATGGATAAATCGTAAAAAATTTATTTTTAAAAAAGAATGTAACGAAAAATTTCAGGTTTATGTGCAACTTGCAAATCAAGGAATAAAATTATTTTTTGCATATGCGAAAGGTTTTTCATCCCATAATTTTAATTTATTTATTTTTCCACCTTTTTTTGCTTACCATTGCTTATTGAAATTTAATATTTTGCCACCAAATTCGTTCCTTACAAAAATTCACAAATGCTTCTCCTATATATATATATATATATATATATATATATATATGTATATTTTTATTCGAAAAACCAAGTGACACTAAAGATTCTGAAAGATTCAGATAAAATGAACTTTGAAGAAATAGCTATTTGGGAAAAATAAAGCCTACGCCACAAATATGTATGTCCTGCTATCATCAGATCATCAAATATTCTGCCGGTATAATGGGATAGCGAGAGATCCAAAGGAAGACATGGGAGATGCTGATATGAAGACAGAGAAGTTCCTCACAATGCGCGGAGTCTTACCTCCAGATCCAACACTCAAGGATTAGCCAGAAAAGAAGGGTGAGACCTGGTGGGTATCAGAGCCACTATCCTAAACAAGGTCCATTCACGAGTCCATCAGCAAGATGGAGCCAAAAGATGAGCTGAGAGAATTGTTAAAGCAGTAAGCAGATAATGGAGCAAGATTAACCAGATGAAATATCTCAAGGCATATATGAGAAATCTTATATGGGATAGAATCGAAGAATAGCTGAGATGGCCAGCATTGAAATCCTTCTAGTGACTGAAAAAATTTGGGCTAAAAGACCGCACTGAGGCATTGATTATAGTGCCATAAGAAACTATAGAATATCAGATCAGTAGGATTAGAGATGCAGGCTATACAGAAAGTCAAAATCTAGTACAAAGTGACAGGATATAAGATGCAAGAATAGCATAAATAACCAAATAACCAGCATTCAGACATCTCCACAGTATATGGACCATACTCTTGCAAGACCAGATGATAGATTTTCTTGTGGATCTCCATCCAGATAGGCAAGCATACTGTCTAACTCTATTGCCTAGCCCGATATATCATAATAGAGAGGAACCAGAAAAAATTAGTGGCGGTATATAACAATATAACAATAGGAATATCATAAGAATGAATAAGTTTATAAGAAGCTAGAGAAGTAGTAGGACCAATCAAAGCTGTTAATCCTAAACTGGCTCCTATAGATCTCACGAACAATATTGATCTCTATCCAGATAAACATAGTGCTAGGAGCAGCTAAAACAGGGCGCAAAACTCCCAGACCTTTAGCATAAGAGATCGAGGAAACCCATACACTTACACATTGAGAAGGGACTAGTGCTCCTCAGGGAAAACTATTTGTTGTATCTATCCACGAATAAACCACGAATCCTGCGCCAAAAAAGCCATTTCCAATGTGTAATGTAATGTAGATGCGTTGGTGACAAAATATGAATGTCACCCAGAAGGGTTTGGATCCGAATCCGGCCAACGCAGCAAGCTTCAATGGAGGCGGCAGTATCATCGAACGGTGGGAATAAAAGAGAATATAACTCAGTGGGTTGTTGCTCAGTTCTGCACTGATACTAGAAGCTTTCATGCCAGGCAAAGTGGTAAATTTTAAAAATCCGTCTGACTCACTTATGTTTCTATCATCTAAATTTATCAGACAAAAGCTAAACTTGCCTAGCCAGCAATGGTGAACATTCTTAGAAAAAAATACATATATTATCATAGATCCTCGTTCATAACTGATATATGATGCAAATATATGTCAGTGTTCTTAAAACTTTAATTAATTTATTTCTTTCTAAATTACTTTTAAAATTTCCTTTAGATGAACTGCTGACCCTATTTGAGAGAACAGATTTCCACAAAAGTGTACCTTTGCAATCAGTTTTGACCAATATAAATGATGCATCAGTATGAAAGTGGACAACCACTAATGAGTTTTCTATTTTCTATTTTTCTATTTTTCTAGTTTTCTATTTTTCACGAATCATAATTAAGGAATTTTCGTAAGATTTTGTAAAAACGCAAATACATTGCAGAAATTTCTCAAAGATCTAAATTTCTCACATTCGTCCAGTTTTCCAGTTATTTTAATCTATTGTGATATCTACAGTGAATTCTCAAAATTCTGAATTCTGAGTTTAAATTTTTTAACTATAATTTATGTACGATAAATACGATTAATATAGAGCACCTTTACTATAATATGGTCGATCATTCATGTGTTTGTTAAGAACACAAGGTTTGACAAGTCGTATTTCATTGTGTACTTGTGCCTGGTTATATTAAGTCATTGTTACCTATTTGTATCAATAATAATAAAGCATTTTATTATTTTAATCCACTGTGATTCCTACAATAAATTCTGAATTGATAACAATAATGTACGATTTTTATGAAGGCTTTTACATTTTATAGCGGAAAGCATCACGTACAAGCGATTTTATCAAGGTTTATCTTCAAGAAAAATGGCGACCATTTTTAAGAAATGTACTTTATCGGTATCCCATAAATGGTAATGAATGAAAGTACTTGGCTAAATAATATCAAAATCTTAGTTATCATTTATCAATAATCACGAAAAAGGTAGCTTCAAGAAGGGCATTAATAATTATAAGACAAAAAATCCTATTATTGCTACTAAAGGAAGAAAAAGTTTTGTTTCATGCTTCAGACGCTTACATGGATGAGGTGATTTCCGAAACTGTAAAATCTACATAATTACCAACATTCACACAGATGTTCGAATTTTTCTGAAGGCTTAAAGAAGAAAGAATTTGTTCACCTGTTTTCAACAAGAATCTTGTCAACATCAATCTGAAAAATTCAAACCAGGAAATGGAAAATCAATGGGAAGAAGTTTTATTCTTCGGCACTGCTTTCTATGCCAACTTAATTCGGGAAGATGTAATTAAAGCTTGTCATTGAGCAACTGTTAATCATTAATTTTCTTCAATATCTGTCAAGAAAAGCGTCGAGATAGTTCATGGTCTCCTCTGCCGTATCGAAATGCAAGATGTATCCATATTTGCTGGGCTAATAATGTTCTTGATAGGTACGCAATGACCAAAAATCTCACGAATTTTTGGTAGGAGTTGTTCTTGATTATTTGTGGGATTATATAAATTACGAAATAATATTACTCTAACATGCAAATACATCAAATCTAAATTACAGATTAAAGGTTAAGATATTACATAACGCTATTCTATTTTGGATGAGCTTATTCCATGAATTTCGGACTATTTTCATGAATCCTTTAATTTCGTAGCAAAATAGAAGAAAAACAAACTTAATGATCGTAATGAACTGTTTAAATGGCACACTTGGAATCCATTATTCAGATCGGCTCTTCCGGCTACAAAAAAATGATAGGCTTTTTCAAAAATGCCGTTTTTCTAAGGTGGCTTTTCAATGAAACGGCTTTCTCTAAAAAGGGCGACAGCAGCTAATTTATGAATTTTTAAGATAACATTATTTACTTCATTTAGTTGACCTGTTGGATTCATTAAATGGTTTAGACATGGAGTCTGAGATTTTTGAGAAATTCTTGCATCACGAATTTCATTGGATAAATAACGCGACAACAGCAACAAGTAACATAAATGAAGTGTATTCGAAAACAATGGCTCTGAGAAAGGTGCAAAATTAAGCAATGATGATTTTCAGCTTAACCCCAAACCCCAAAAATGTCGTTTCAAAAGTGGATGAAGATTTTCTGCTATCCGCGATCGAAACTGAATTGGATGTAATATTTAAATATATTGGCAAGCGATATTCTATTCTTAAACCATGGAGAATTTAAATAAAACTGGTTTTGGATTCCACATCAATTTGCCGAAAAATAGGAATAGGCACTTCAATGGAAAATTGGACAAGTTCTTGGACAAAATTATTATGGAAATGGGTACTCCACGTGAGTGATCCTAATAAATGCAGGAGGTCAACAGGAGAAACAGCAACAGACGTTCATAACATAAAAAGTGCTGCTATATATGTGGTATGGGATAAGCCATGATGAGCTCTCTCAAGCCTGGTCAAGTTATCATCACTGACATCTACTGCAAGCAACTTAATGCTCTTCAAAAAAAATCCCATCAAAGTTATCAGTAACGGCTCAAACGAAAAAAAAAATGTAATCCGTAAGCACGATGGCACAAGCCCCACGTTTTAAATAACACCAAAAAATCAAGGAGTTCGTCTGGCTGTCCATCTCATTCGCTTTATGGCCTATATTGACTCTTCCGACTTTCATTTGTTCAGATCCTTATTTACTAGAATAAAATTTCATTCTTTCAATGATATAAAAACCTTGAATGACATTTCAAATTCAATAACGCAAAAAAAGATTTCGAGAAAGAGATGAAATAGCGATGAAGAAGTTGGAAGAAGTTAGGAAACGATAACGATTTTATAATAATTTTATCATATAATTTAATTTATTAAAATTGAAATTAGCCTTGCCTTGGTCTTCTGCGCTTAAGTCGGAGCATATATTGCACAACGAAGCGTCGTATAACTTTTCTTAATTTTCTTGGTATTCTGTTTTATTTAAAATATTTAATTCTTCCTTAGATCTTAAAATTTACATCTTAGGTTTGTTAATTTTACTTAAAACCATTTCTCAAGTGAGAATATATTTAGCAATTAACACCCATTAAGGAAGAAACTGATTAATTGAATAAATCGGAAGAAAATCCAAAATGTATGCAAAAATTTTATCGAAATATATAACTCTAAACAACACTAAAAAGTTAATTGAACCAAGACATTTAATATCTAAATAAAAAAGGAATAATTTTCAAGAAATCTTTAACAATAGCTTTATTATCACTAAACCATAAAAACATGGAGATGTGGCATAAACAATGGCCTAATTTTCTTAGTGTTTGCTATGTGCATATGTAATTAGATCAACGACACGACAACTATAGCCATATTCGTTATCATACCAGCTGATCAGTTTAACAAATGTCGGATTCAAAGAGATGCAAGCTTTCGCATCGAAAATTGAAGAATGAGAATCACCAATGAAATCCGTCGAAACGACCTGAAAACGTTGAAATTTCCTCGCATCATTCTTCTTTTAGTATATAATGTAATCTTAAAAATATTCAAATGAATAGTGGAAACGCACCTGGTCCTCAGTATAACCAAGAATGCCTTTCATTGGGCCTTCAGCTGCTGCTTTAACGGCAGCTTTGATTTCATCCATAGTGGCAGGCTTTGCCAGCCGCGCAGTCAAATCTACCACTGATACATCAGCAGTTGGCACACGAAATGCCATACCAGTTAAAAGACCATTGAGAGCTGGGATCACCTCAAAAATGATTTAAAAACTAGGATTTTTTTGAAAATCATCTTTATGCTAAGGCAAGATTAAGATATCTTTCCATTTTTTCCAACCTTTCCAACAGCTTTGGCTGCTCCAGTGCTTGCTGGAATAATATTTTGAGCAGCTCCTCTACCATCTCTCCACTGTTTTCCCGAAGGACCATCAACCGTTTTTTGAGTGGCTGTTGTTGCATGCACTGTTGTCATCAAACCTTCCACGATACCAAACTTATCATGAATAATCTAAAACAAATTCTTATATTTAAGCCTTGTTGCTGATCCTAACTTTTCCCAAAAAATAATGTAAAAAACAAATAAATTCAAAAATATCAACTTTAGCAAGAGGGGCAAGGCAATTGGTTGTACATGATGCATTCGAGATGATGTGGTTATTAGCATGATCGTACTTGTCGTGATTTACACCCATAACGAACATCGGTGCATCAGCAGATGGTGCAGAAATAACAACCTTTTTTGCGCCACCTTTCAAATGTGCTGATGCTTTTTCAATGGTTGTAAACACACCCGTTGATTCAACAACGAACTCTGCACCATCAGCACCCCATGGAATTTCAGCCGGATCTTTACTAAAAGTATTCTTTAATTGAAAACTGCTGTAATGTAAATTTCTTTCTAAACAAAAATAGAAATTTTAGAACTGATTTCCGAACCTATTGTGAACGGTGATATGATGAGTCGATTTGCCAGGAGCAGAAACAACAAGCTTGTTACCTTCAGCTGCAATGTGACCTTTGAATCTGCCATGAGTCGAATCATATTTGAACATATAAACCTAAATTAATTGCAAATTGAAATAGGAAAAGATCGATAACATTCAATTCAAAATATTTTCAATTTTCATAATTTCTATTACAACTTTTTTTTGTAAAAGTACGGCCAGCTGTATCTATTAATTCACACGACTTTATATAATACGATTATTATATTTTTTTCAAAATGTCTCTATAAACAAGTACAACGCTCATGCATTTTCTATTTCGTTCCTTTATTAATTTATTTTACTTGAAAACAATAAAATTTTTGAAAGAACCATATAATCGATATCAATGAATGGATCATTGACGGCAACGACATCAACAGCATCCTTGTCAACAGCTGCCCGCAATACGAGACGACCAATACGGCCAAATCTAGAAGAGAATTTTTTTGAAAAGAAAATCTCTTAAATTTGAAATAACGAAATTAAGATTTCATTAAACCTTTAGTTTTTCACATGAAATAAAAATAAAAAAGCATTAACTTCGGTTTAAAAAAATTAGAAATCTAAAATAATTCACTAGAAAATTAATTTAAAAATAAATTCTTCGCAATTCGCTTATTTATGCAAACAACAAAACGCCAAAAAAATAAGGAAAAATACCCGTTAATTCCAACTTTTGGTTTGCTCATCGTACAAATGAATCTTTTAATATTCAGCAGAATTGCTAATGAATTAAAACTTTCTGAAAATACACATCGAAAATTAAATCTAAATAATTTTATATATGAACATAGCGTGGAAAAATCTGAGCGATAATACTAAAGAAAGCTTTTTTATTTCGATTAAAAACAAATCGGAAGCATAAAAAATGAAATTAGGGAAAGAAAGCATCAACGTGAAAAAAACTTTTTTAGAGACATGTTTTCGACGATGCGAAAAGCTTCCAAAAAGAAGGAATTTCAGCGACAAAAAAAAATTTCACCAGGGAAAAAAGAAAATATTTTGGCGGGTAGAATTGTAGCAGCGAACGGATTTTTTTCACGACAAAAATTTAAATATAATTCTGCACACAGGCTTTCCTGCTTTCCCGAACATAAACCGCTGGCTTTTATCACACTGCACGCACTTAAAGAACGACGAACTGCGCGCACACACACATTGACGAACTGTATACGCACGTACGCAAACCGCCCCAATATAGTTATGCACTTCGTTTGCACCCACCACCATCTGCACTCAAACCGCACTCCCAACTGCCCCTAAAACAGCCAACCGCTCGCCTCACGACAAATCGTCGTATTGTGGTGCAGAGATAGACAGCATCATGCATAATGGTAAAGAAATCTACAAGAAAAGACCACATGATCCACGGTACATCCAGAAACATTGATAGGATTAAAAGACTATGTGGGGACAGCGATAGAAAATAGAAAAATTAGTAAGTATAGGTTTTGAGGCAAGTCAGACATTCATAGAAAATCAATAAAATAATATAGCATTTTAAAAATAACTTGGTTTACAGGAGAGGAAAAATGAATAGCTGGGGGAAAACGTTGAGGGATAAAAAGGGGATGGAAAGGTATTAGAAGAGGCTGGGAGAGGGGGGACTTAGCGTAAATTACCGTGAGGGTGCAGGGAGGGGAGGACAAAAGAGAAGGGAAGAGGGCTGATGGGTTCGAAGTTACGGCAGCTGTGAGCCGTACGACGGGTGCGACGTAGCAAGACGCTTACAGGAAAGGAAGGAACCGATGGTGAATCGGACAAATAAGCTCGTTGATTGCTTAATAATTCAATTAGAAACGCCGATATGCCCGAAACGCTATAAATTTTGTATTTTTCAAAGTTAGCGCATCGGCCAACCCATCGAAATTTATAGAAATTAAATTTATTGATTAATTATTTATATTTAATTGTTCTTAATTTCGGTCTCATTTTGAGAGTAATGATTGTTGCCGTAATTAATGCAAATTTCGTAAATAATTGTAGATTGGGCGGAAAAAGGGAGGCGATTTATTTTTTTTTATTTTAATTCGATATCAATATTGGTAATAATAGTGATAAAACAATAAATAATAGTGGTGATAAAAGGCATGTCGTCGCTGTCAGTCGCTGATAACAACAATGATAACGAGAATAATAATCGAATATTTCGACGTGAATCATTTGCAACGACGTCTGAATCTGACGACGGATCGTGCATTGATGATAACGGTTTGTTATAGAATTTCGCCATAGTAAAATTATTATTCGATATAAAGTATATTTTAATATATTTATTACCCCAGCTCGTTTTTCCCTAATAATATTTTTTTTCTTGAGAAAAGAGCGTTGAATAATTAAAATATAAAAAGGAGGGACAGTTGTGCACGTCAGAACGAACAGTTCACGCTGAAATCGATAATTTTCTTTTCGCTAAAGAAAATGAATTTTTAAATATTTTCTTCCACCTAGCTTTATAATAATGTTGTATGGAATATCAGATCGGCGAGGTGATGCGGAATGCGAGGATTTAGCAACTTCGGCAAGTGGCCGAAGCAGTTGTTTAAAGCAGCGTAGTCATCGCAGTGCAGCATCTCGCTCAAACTCAACTAATCCCCGTGTGCAGGTTTCTTTTTATCATTTTGCAACATGGTGTGTGAATTCATGTGACGAAAACTTAACTGAATCTTCAATCTGAATCTTTCAGCAGCAATTAATTAATTTCCCAGGTATCTTGGTCATCGCAGTCCTCGAAATCTTCACAGCAACAATCACTGAATGATTGGGAAAATCGAAGTATAACGGAGGTTCATCGAAATACCGGTGCGTCCACCGACCGCTACCTTTTTTCTTTATTTGTTTGGAAAAATTTTGAAATTTTGAAAAAATTGGATGACATTCATTTTTGTGGCTTATTCAGTTGATATTAATTTGTGTATAATTTTTTGCTTTGCTTTTTAGTCAACGAAATTTTGACTAGTGTTTTCTTCTTTTTCACCTTCTTTATTGTATCTTTTAATTCTTTTGCTGCTTCTTTTCGATTCATGTTGATGAACCTGCGAGAAAGTTCGAAATACATAATTTTTTTTTGATTTTCATTTTTTTAATGATACATTGGTGTAATGGATTTCAGAGGAACATGGTAGGAAATCTTGCTTACATAACAATGGAGTTATTGGTTCATCATCATCTTCCGGCACATCACCATCTGGATCGCCATCACGCGCTAATATAGCATTGAACCTAGAGCATTCACGTACTGTTCAATCAACACTGCCTCTTCCACCTGCCCTCAAACAAACTTCGTCGAAAAAAGTTCAGTTGTTAAAATGAAAAATATTTTGTTTTGTCATAAATAGTTAATCATAAATAGTTAATCTTACTAAAAAAATTGGAATCAGCAAGGTCGAGTGATACGTCTGGCTATAATGAAGTGTTTATGCATTCGATCCCTTTGATAGAAGTAAACTTGCCATTAAAGATAAAGTCCGAGTGGTGCTTGGGGCCGTACCTTTTTTTATCTTCTTTAAATCTGTAGTAGTCAGGGCAGCCAATTAAATCAGAAATGGTGGGTATTGAAAGAATCAAAAAATCCCAGATATATTTCCCTTATTATGTAGTTTTTTTCCAACATTACTAGTTAATGTGGCAGTGGATATTCGAATGAATTAAGATGGGAGCCTTTCGCCAGAGAATCGGTAGTCAGCAGTACAAATGGTTATCACCATGCTGATTAAAGTTCTCAATTTTTATAAGGTTTATTCCCACCAAGAGGCAAGGGTTGAACCACAATACTGGAATTAGTCTGATGCGCCTCTCTGCCATTCTGCTCCCAGTATTACATTGTTTAGCTTATGAATTGTATGAAATATGAAACTTCAAATAAAATTTTTTTGCATATAAGTATCATTTAGAGTATTCTCCATTTTCATACAATTAAAGATCACAAAATCTTAAGTTTTAATAATTCTGTAAAATTTTTAGTGGGTTCAATCAAAATAAAGAAAATTTTTTCTTTTATAGGATTCATACAGAAGTCAGCGATCAATGTCGTTAGGCAGTGCTTCTCACGAATCATTAATGGCCTCAAATACTTCTTCACGTAAAGTATCACGTACAATCGATATTAGTCGAGCAGCTAATGGTATTTTGCAATTAATTAACAGAACAAATCATAAACAAATAAAAGCGATCTTGTGATGACCACTTTAATGATGTTAATTCTTTGTTATCCTGGCATCAAGTCCTTTTAAATGTTTTTATACATTTTTAATTTCGATTATCAAAAAATATATGAAATATAAAAAGCATTAAAAAAAGTTCTTTAATTTCTTTAAATGATTTCTACTACTTTTCTACTTTTATTTTCTACTTTTCTTCATTTGATTTTATTTATTTTAAAACATTCCTTTTTCATTATTTAGGTGATAAAGTAACTTTACTAATTGAAAATACTCGGTTCATTGTTGATCCTGCCGTTCTTATTGCGAAACCTGACACAATGTTAGGTCGAATGTTTAGCGTTCGAAATCAATATGAAGGTGTTGAATTAGTGCAACCTAATGAACGTAATGAGTATGAAGTGGCAGAGGGCCTTTCTTCAGCTTGCTTCCAAGCTATTTTGGTTGGTTCGTACAATTTCATTAAAGTTTTCGTAAAGAGTAAAACTTTAAATTCATAATTCAAAGTCGTTTATGAATTCCGCTTTTGCTGCTTTTCGTCGATTTTTTTTTTGCTTTTAAATAAAACAATTATTCTAACTTTACTGAGTTGCTAATAATATATATTTAGGAATATTACCACACAGGAAAGATGCGCTGTCCTCCGTCAGTTTCAGCTAGTGAACTTCGTGAAGCATGTGATTATTTGCTTATACCCTTCAATGCAAATACTGTTCAGTGTTACAATTTACGCTCATTTTTGCATGAACTTAGTAATGAAGGTGCTCGACAACAATTTTCTTTATTTTTAGATGATATTATTTTGCCGCAGATGGTCGCTAGTACAGAGGTATTTTCTTATTAGTTATTAGTGTTATTATTAAAATTATTGATTTCTCTTAAGTTTTTCTTGTAATCTATATATCATAAGAATGTTACCCAAATTATATGGTGAGCAAAATTTCTTTTCTTGCCAGTACTTTTTTATTGGCAAAAAATTTTTAATCTATGGAATCTATTTCACTCTTAATAATTTTATCATGTAGCGCAAGAAAAAATTTTATTTCAGCACGGCGATCGCGAATCTCATATTGTTGTTCTTTTAGACGATGATGTTGTGGATTGGGATGAACATTATCCACCGCAAATGGGTGAAGATACAACACAAGTCGTGTATAGCACTCATTTATATAGATTTTTTAAGTACGCAGAAAATAGAGATGTTGCCAAACAGGTTATTTTAAGATACAGATTTATAAGATAAATAATAAATTTTTTCGCTTTTCTGTCATCAACCGATTGAATGGAAAATCAGAAAATCGTCCATTAAAATCATTTTGGGAAGAAATTTATGAATAATTTAATTCTACGGCGAATTTTTCTTCGATATAGCATGAATATATCGTAAAAAGTAAATCCTATCCAAGTTTAGCTAGTGCGGCAAGCGATCCTTTTCCACAGGTATTTTTGAATATATGATTATTAGCATATTTGAAATTAGTCACCTGGTTTACAGTTATTTCTGAAGGGAGAACAACATGAATAGTAAATTTCAAATTTTTTATAAAAACGAAAAGAAAATTTTGTATCAAACATATTCATAAATTTACTATTCACAAGACTTAATATGAGTGGTGAATATGGATTTTATTGTTCTATTGTTTGAACTTCGTTAAAGTTCATATTTGTTATCCTCTATTCATATTATTTTTTTTTAGGTTTTGAAGGAACGTGGTTTGAAAAAAATTCGACTTGGGATGGAAGGCTATCCAACTCATAAAGAAAAGGTTAAGCGGCGGTTCAATAAAGCTGAAGGTTATGATGGTTTTATTCATATTTCATTGAATGAATCTATAATCATTAATCATTTCGTTTAAGCGTTCACATTTATTCAAACTTATATTATTTTATATTTTATATTCTGTTATTCATTCATTTATTTATATGTTCTCCATTCATATTGTGTTATTTATTTAGTTATATATAATTATGTGCAGCGACCATTTTTGCATTGTTCTTGGGAAAAAGAAGAAGCTCGATCTCGTCATGTTGATTTTGCTTGTCCAATTGTAAAAAGTAAATCCAATCCAAGTTTAGCTAGTGCGGCAAGCGATCCTTTGCCACAGGTATTTTTGCATATATGATTATTAGCATATTTGAAATTAGTCACCTAGTTTACAGTTATTTCTGAAGGGAGAACAACATTCTTTCCAGTAAAGCAGTTCATTCTGTTTATTCGGTTTATTATAGGGACATTTTAATTATTTTTATTTTTTAGCAATTATTTTGTTTCAAAATTTAGCCGGCTCCTCTTCATTTGAATTTTTCACATCCCGGACTGGCTTCAGTCGCTGGTCATCAGCATTCAACGCCTAATAACAGTCATTCTCAGTTATTGCTTGGTGTTGGTGGTGTTCATTTAGCACATCAGTTGGCTAATCAGGTTAACATTCATCATATAGTTAATATTCATCATATAGCTAACTGCTATATGATTTCATTTTTTTATTGTGTTCATTCTGACAATTTTTCAAAAGAGCAGGTGGTCTGTCGCTTCGACTGTGGTCAAATATTGTGATTCCTATATCCTATAGGGAGTAAGTAAACTTATCTACGTTTTTATCCACTTTTGTTTAACAGTTAGTGAAACCACTCAAACCAGAAATGGTACTTAAAAGAAAGACAAGAAATCGTAGATTCAAATTTTTACTCGGAAATAAAATTATTTTCAATATTATAGCGTTTACAACCACTTCATTCACCACCAGTGCATATGGTGAGATATTCTGCTGAAATGCATCCTAATCAATCAAATTTCAGTGGTGACACTGCTACTTCTAGTTCTACTTAATAATTGGATTAACCATCAGATTATTTTGTTTTAGTGGTCTAAGAATCTTATTGTTTTTCTGTTGCATGCTTCATATATTCATAATTTGCGCTGCAGCTTGGAGTATTGATGGAAAATATTTAATATTTAAGAAATTAAGTGAAATTGTCTAAGTGAATATATATATTTTTTTTCTTTGTTCTTAAGCTTTTCTAAATATTTTTCTTTCTTTTCCATTTTTCGGTCTTTTCCATGAGTAATTATTGTTGTTTGTTTTTGCGTTGCTTTTCACCCAATCGCCTTTTGGTTTTTTTTTTGAATCTTGGTTTTCAAAGGGTCTATAATGTTATTGGTATTGACCTGAATATAAATTTTTCGTTCTAATTTAAATTTCGTTATCGTTGTGTTTTCTTACTACTTGTTCGTAGAAGTTTCTATATTGCTCTCAATTTATCAATCAAATGTTAATGAAGTTTGAAAATAATGAATTTTTAATCAACATTTTTGAAAAAGTATGTTTGTAATTTCGAAATGAATGCTCAATTGTTGTTCTTATCAGGTTCTATGCTATGCTACTGTGTTCTTTCGATGTTCGGATCAACATTGTCTTTTAAAATTACTGTTTATGCCACTTTTAATTTAATCTTCTTTGATCTTCTCTATCCATTTAAAGATTAATATTTTAATATAATGTAAAAATATGGTGCTAATGCAATATTAGGTCGTAATATTCTGTATTTAGAGATTTCTTGGTCCAGCATTTGAAAGTAACTATAATTTTCTGGGTTATATTGTTTGCCTTTCATTTTCGTTCTCTAAAATATTATTTCTATTATTTATGTGCATATATTTCTACTGGCAAGGATTTATCGATTTAAATTATTTAAATTATCATTGATTTTCACTACCAAGAAATCATTCTCCCTTGATGGTTATGGCATTTTCAGCCTTTTGCACCTGTGGATATTTTTTTAGCATTTACACTCGAGAAACTCTGTAAAACCAAACCACTGAGAAAATTGTCTAAAAAAATACAGTTCGCGTCTTTCATCTTTTTCAGTGATTATTTTGCGTTACTGTTAAGATTAATCGAGAAAATTGGTGGGCATTTTCGAGCATAGAATAATGAATGGTTTTAATATGTTAAATATTGAAAGAATGGCATTTCTTAGTGGCTTGCTTTTTTAAGTAATCCCTCGAAACAACTGATCCAAATTTATAGATTTTTTAAATTTTGGTAACCTTATGCGATCAAAATTAAAAAGAGCAAAGAGGCATTCAGAGGAATAAAAATAAGGAAGTAAGTGTATTCAGTTGCATAAAAATTTATTTAAAATTTGTTACTTAAGCTTTATTTAAATAATAGAAGATAAACAGAAGTATATTTAATGAACAAGCAACGAATATTATGTTTGTATTAATAACGTTAATATTAGTAACATTTCAAACAAAATTTCGAAAAAATCGATACTTCTGGAACAAATGACGAGGAAAGGTTCCGACTAAAGGTTGGTCTAATTGGTTGTTAAGTCCCATGGCAGAAACTAGTTGAATCTCGTGAACCTCTGCTATCTGTAAAAACACCAGTGAGTAGATCCTAGCTATTGACAGCCTCGAAAGAGTTCAGTGGCAAGGATAAATATTGGAACAGTAGGGCACTTGGTGAATAAAAGTGGCGAATGGAATGATCTACGGTAAGGTAATGGGTGTAGGATTCTCGCCGGCTGTTTTTGTGGAGATATTTCGATATTCCGAGAAAATAACGATTTTTCAAGCAATATGACTACAAATGCAAACAGGACGAGAAATAATTTTCCTTTTCATGAAGCTTAAGGTCAATAAAGCTTGCGGATAATACGATAAGATGATTGCCGAAGAATAGGAATAGGCACTTCAATGGAAAATTGGACAAGTTCTTGGACAAAATTATTATGGAAATGGGTACTCCACGTGAGTGATCCTAATAAATGCAGGAGGTCAACAGGAGAAACAGCAACAGACGTTCATAACATAAAAAGTGCTGCTATATATGTGGTATGGGATAAGCCATGATGAGCTCTCTCAAGCCTGGTCAAGTTATCATCACTGACATCTACTGCAAGCAACTTAATGCTCTTCAAAAAAAATCCCATCAAAGTTATCAGTAACGGCTCAAACGAAAAAAAAAATGTAATCCGTAAGCACGATGGCACAAGCCCCACGTTTTAAATAACACCAAAAAATCAAGGAGTTCGTCTGGCTGTCCATCTCATTCGCTTTATGGCCTATATTGACTCTTCCGACTTTCATTTGTTCAGATCCTTATTTAATAGAATAAAATTTCATTCTTTCAATGATATAAAAACCTTGAATGACATTTCAAATTCAATAACGCAAAAAAAGATTTCGAGAAAGAGATGAAATAGCGATGAAGAAATTGGAAGAAGTTAGGAAACGATAACGATTTTATAATAATTTTACCATATAATTTAATTTATCAAAATTGAAATTAGCCTTGCCTTGGTCTTCTGCGCTTAAGTCGGAGCATATATTGCACAACGAAGCGTCGTATAACTTTTCTTAATTTTCTTGGTATTCTGTTTTATTTAAAATACCCATTACATATTCATTAATCACCTAATTAGCCGATTTTTTTTTTCTATTATTTGTGAATAAAGCAAATAAATAATATTTATACTTAATGAAACCATTTTGGCAATTCATTTATATAAGAACTACAATTAAGTATTAACATTATCATAGAATTAATAATGTTTATTTAATGTTCACTTTTCTTTTTCTACTTCTCCCTTCTCCCTTTGATATCTTTATCATTCATTCCTTTATTCGTAAGATTTCTTATGGCTTTTATTACTCTCATCCATTAATTGTATATTAATTCTTCCTTAGATCTTAAAATTTACATCTTAGGTTTGTTAGTTTTACTTAAAACCGTTTCTCAAATGAGAATATATTTATTTAACAATGATATTATGCAGTACTCATTTTGAAATATCCATTTAAAAAAAATTAGGGAAGGAGAAATTAATTGCTTTTTCTATCGTTTCCTCATGCAAGCCGCTATTCGTTATCAGTACTCCAGTTCTTTTACCCTTTTGTCTTTTTAATTGATTCGATTCGTTTTTTAAAAGATAAACGGACAAACTTCTTCACCTCAATAATATATATATATATATATATATTATATAAATATAATAAAAATAATATTTAATATTTTATAATATTTTATTGAAAACTTAATTTCTAATTGTGACTTACCCAAAAGCAATGGTTCCGAGCGGGAGCTATATTTTTATTTCTAAGGACCATACAAAAGTTTAAAAAGCAGAGGCCATAGGAAGTGCAGGAGGCAATGTGAGCTGCAAAAAGATAACTTACGAGGCAGAATATAAAGAACATTTTAAATATAATTTATAATTTCATCTAATTTATTTTAAATTTTTATCTTCCAAATTTATTTTGAAAAATGTTGAAAGTCACTAAAAATTTATGAGGATTAACATAATAGGGAAAAAATTTTTCCTCTCTTCACAATAAAGATTCTGTAAATATTGAGCTAAATTTGAATTTGCTTCCACTTTCTTCCAGTTCTTCCATATCTGATCTTTGAATAAGGTAATAATCGCAATTTCTTAGTTCAAGTAATTTCTTTTTCGAATAATCCACTTTTATTTTATGTGATTTTTATTGGTCTTGGCAAGGAAATATTAATTATTTTCCTTAAAAAGCGGTATTTTCTAATAAAAAAAATACGACCATAAAAGCTTGAAAATAATCCACAATCCACAAAGATAAAAAATAGTTGGATACTTCCAGAAATGACTTTAAAGGAAGATCGATAATAGTAATAATAATCGATAATAATAAACCTGGCTCCGAATAGATGTACTAGCCATATTATTGTGGTGTTTATCATTGCGAAGGGCCATAGCGATAGTCATGTTTAAAAAAGTTCAGTCCGCTCTCATTGAGTGGAAGCCAGTAAATAACACCATGGCATATGCTCCATTCAAAGGAAAGTTCTACAGTATTTCGGCCATCAATGTATATAATTCTTTATGCGTAGATGGTAGCGATAAAGGTAAGCTCCACACGGAACTTCAATGGCTAATAAAATCTCTAACGAAAAATGGCATAATTTGGAGAAACTGGAATGCGCACATAGGACATGATGCCGCTTGGTAATAAACTTGGTAATTGGCAAATATGGCTTCGGGGTTCGGTGCGCTAGTGGAGAACATCTTCATTTTGCTGAAGAGCATGAACTTTTTGTTACTAATATGTTTTTCCTTCCCGTATCGGAAAAGATATCATCTAATCACATGGAATACCCGGATAGCCAACGATTGATTATGTCTTAATTAATTGCCACTGGAAGAATTCCGTACTAGACAGTCGTTCCTATAAGAATCATAACTCATAGATCAGACCATGTTATAGTTCGAGGCCAACATTCGCACAAAATTGATAATTCGCAAGAAACAGAAACATCCTCCAAAATCTTTCAACTATCACAACCAAAAATATTTGGGGACAATGAGTGTATTTCAAAATGAATTATTGAAACACCTCGATATTATAAATATCAATGATTTTTCTGGAATGGCAAGTGAATAATGGTCCAAACTAAATGAATATCTCCAACGCTTCCACGCTAAAGCATAATAGTAGGAAGTGCGCTGGTTAGGTATCGGAATTAATTATCCAACTGAAAACGCTGCCAAAGCATGAATATCAGGAGATCCTAACCACCTCGAATACTTCGAAGGATTGCAAAGACAGCAGAAGACGGAATAGAAATCTCTATTGGAACAACATGACCTTGAGAATGGAGGTGGCTTGGTTAAATGATAATATGAAACTATTTCGCCTTCTTTACAAAGCAATAATTCGGAGAACAATCAGTGAAATGGTAAAGGACCGACAACAGCAATGGTGTGCCTGTTAAGAGTATTAAGGATCGCTTCAAAAGATGCATAAAAAATTCTCTGAGGCCAAATTTAACCATGGTGCGCCATCTT